AATATTTATATAAAAAGTGACAGGGCAATTATAATAAACAAAAGAAACATTTGGCTTTATGCAGTGGTACAAAAAGTAATTAAAGTTTCAAGTTTTCTTCAACTTGTTAGTACCGTAATTAATACCTAATATAATTTAATTAATTTTAAAGCTTAAAGTTCATTGACTCCAAATTCAGTGAAGTCACTACACTATGTCTTATGAAAGGCTTGTTCCTAAACGTTAAACATATTTAGTTTCTAAAATTTGTAACACTGGTACTATTGTTTGTGTTGTGAAAGGCTTATCATAAACGTTAAAAATATATAGTTTCTAAAATATGTAACAATTTTATTATTGTTTACTTTGTGAAAGGCTCGACTCGCAACCTGCGGGTCGCGAATTAGAATCCTCTCATGCTTGTTTTTCAGTTGTGGGGCGTTCTAATGTGACGGTCAATCAAACTTTCGTTGGCAAAAGAATAGACCAAGAACTGGCAGTGGGTGGTATTGACTAACTGCCTTACTTCTATTCTATCTTTAATATGTTAGAGACAGCTACCGAAGATAGCCCCCAGTAGTTTGGAGGAAAATTCAACAAAATAAACTAAACGTATAGAGAAGTAACGCTATTATTTTATATGCAGGATGCGCGAAAAATCTACGAATCCCTTATGGTCTTCTCAGTTCGTGTTCCAACAAATCCAGAGTACGAAACCTTTATCAAAGATACGATAACCCGCTCAAACAAGGAATTTAACCTAACTTTGGATGATACTGCGGTAAGAACTCACGTTTGTTGTTACCTTAGTATTTTCAAAAGCATTCAACTATTAAAGAAATTAAAGAAGTGATATTGGATTTAAGGATTTTTTTGTAGTACATAACTAGTTGATTGTATAAATTTGTAATTTTACTTACACAACAGAGTAGATTAGAACCAGTCTCTTCTGCATCCACTTGTGAAGTCCTCAACTCGTCTAGTGGATTGTATGGCTTTGGAATTTTACTTACACAATAGAGTAGATTGGAACCAGTCTCTTCTGCATCCACTTTTGAAGTCCTCAACTCGTCTAGTGGATTGTATGGCTTTGGAATTTTACTTACACAACAGAGCAGTTTAGATACAGTCTCTTCTGCATACACTTGTGAAGTCCTCAACTCGTCTAGTGGATTGTATGGCTTTGGAATTTTACTTACACAACAGAGCAGTTTAGATACAGTCTCTTCTGCATCCACTTGTGAAGTCCTCAACTCGTCTAGTGGATTGTATGGCTTTGGAATTTTACTTACATAACAGAGTAGTTTAGATCCAGTCTCTTCTCCATCCACTAGTGAAGTCCTTAACCATTTTCAGTACTTACGTTACTATTACTAGTTATTGTTTTTATATATTTCTGAAAGCCTCAGGGAGCTCGGAGGTGAGTCTGAGGTCTTGTAACACTAAAAGTAGGGTTTCGATACCCGAAATGGCAGAGCACAGATAGCCCATTGTGTGACCCTTGTTCCATCTTTTCCCTCAAGTGAACATGCTATTTCATTTATTACACTATTTGAAGATCGCCCAAGGTCTTACCTTACCAAAAAGATGGATGGTTCTCTCTCTCTCATTGAATGGTTTCATAAGACTTGGAATTATCAGATGAGCCTTCAAATCTATCTGAGGTTTTGGGCAGAACCAGTCTACAGTTTTGGGCTGAAGTTTAGGGAGCTCGTTAGGAGTATGATCCTGTTGTGATCTTCACTTTTACTGGTCAACCATACAAGTGCGTTTCGTATGCCTCAGGTTCTGCTCTAAATGAGTTTGATCGTCCAGTTTTAGCCGCTGGCCATTCAAACATCAGATGTTTATCTCCCTACATGGATCCTGCCCATGTATCAAATCCATTTCAATGATCAATGTCGGTCTCTACTTTGGGTGTGATGACCAGTAGTTCTGACCTTTCTCTCCACATCGTGCTGCCAACCTTCATTGTACTTAATTTAATGCTATCTAATCAGTACTCTTGCTGTTTTCCAGTGGACATATTTCAACGTTGACCCTGTCCTGATCGATTACGGTCTCTGTATTATTATTTTTCCCTGCTCTCTCCCTCTTCCAGTTGCTGATACAGTGGATGAGATGTGGTGAGTAGTGAATACCTTGTCTTCTAGTGATTTAAACCGAACCAAAAGTAAGGATTGTTGGTTAAGGTGCTCCTCTTGGTCCCATATATCATCTTGCAGGCCATTATTTAGATTGGGAAGATAACGAAACATTGTCGACTGATTTATGCCAAAAAACAGTTTACTTCAAAATGTATATTTTCTTGGAAACACTGTAGATAAGCTATTTACTATAAAACGCCACCTAAAATGTAACTAGATTGTTTACAGCTAAACGCCGTTTAAAACTTTTCAACAAAACGCACTTGAAACTGGGAGATATAAGATAAGACGGGATCATATATTGTATTTATAATTATAACTTTCACATTGATAATGATGATTTGAGATCCAACAATAAGGTATTTTAGTACGCTCTACTACAAAGTACATGTTTTAAAATAACTAGGTTTCTTCACAAAGTACTCGTCATGCTACTGAAGTTGAAACCATTATTAACAAGCTTACTCATAATACTGGTCGACAAAATCTAGCATATCTCATTATTGAAATATGACTGGTGTTAATTTCAGCACAATTTAGGTAATAATCACACATTAGGCTAGTTAAACTTACAACTTTATTCATTTTTAAATATAATTCCCATAAACGCTATACACACCATACACTTGGTTACATTTATACAGTACATACTTATGAAGAAATAAATGCACAACAACTTAATATATAATTACGACAATAACCTTTCAAATTCGATCGGTCTCATCACGAAAACCCGACACTATTTGGAATCAGCGTCCCAAGACCTATCTAACCCATCTGTAATTATATCTGGTGAAAATTACTTGTTGGCCAGTGTAATCTGGATAGCTAAATGAATGATATATTTATTTTTTTATCACTTACGTATTGCAGCAACATTTAGCTTTAAGAAAATTAATTTATAGTGAATTTGTGTCCTTGGGATAATCCTTTAAAAGCTTTATTAATCCAACAATACGATTGATATATAAATCACGATTTAACTAAAGTAATAGAATATATTCATGAAGTTTTTAACTTCTCCATCTTGTCTGGAACAAAAAAATAAAATCAAACCATTCAGCGAACAAACAATAGTTCAATAATTTGTTAAACTCAGTCAAGGTTGGGTAACATACATAACACAGCATTATAGTTTAAATTCGATGACGAGGAACCCACTTTGAGACTAATAATGCTTGAAGGCGGCTTAAATGGACAATGATGACAAAACCTTGTCGAAACGTTGTACATTTGCTGTTATGTTAAACTTATATTAATTTTTTTCTTCGTCACCCATTAAAGCCGTCTCCAAGCATTATTACAGCGTTATAGTGTTAGAGCAGAAAATAATAAACTACTCAACAACACAAGATCGGTGTTTTGAACACACTCAACCAGTTTAGCTCATGAAAACATAAGCTTCTCATCGGCATTGACAAGATATTTTAAGAGTCCTAGCTAGATAGTGGTTTGAGTTATTAAATACGGGCGTTTTTATGATAGTTACCCTGTCGTTTAATTGTCATTCATTGGTCACTTGCTGTTATTCTAGGGTAGTATCTAAAGTTACACTGTCGTTTAAAGGTCATTCATAGGTCACTTGCTGTTGCTTTGGGGGAGTATCTAAAGTTACACTGTCGTTTAAAGGTCATTCATTGGTCATTTGCTGTTATTCCAGAGGAGTATCTAAAGTTACACTGTCGTTTAAAGGTCATTCATTGGTCACTTGCAGTTGTTATGGGGGAGTATCTAAAGTTACACTGTCGTTTAAAGGTCATTCATTGGTCACTTGCTGTTGTTATGGGGAGTATCTAAAGTTACAGTGGTGTTTAAAGGTCATTCATTGGTCATTGGCTATTCATATGGTAGATTATCTAAGATTTTATATTCACTGGATTCACGCTTTTTAAGGGACACAGCAATCAGTGATAGCGCCTGAAGTACGTAAATAGTTCTTATGCGTCTGTATAGGAATTTATATTCCATGTTTTTTAAATGTTAAGTTCATGAAAGGTATTGATTAAAATGTTAATATGTATAATCTATTTATTCTTTTATACTTATTCAATATATATATATACATATATATATTATTTATGATGAGGAATACTTTGGTATTTTTGTCTTAGTATATAGATTTAGGATTAGTCTAAGCCTTTTAATATGACTAAACTCCGAGAGATATTATTGGGATTACGACCGAAAATATCGTTAACAGCTTGGGTATCCAGTTGATAAATCAGTGCATTCTAATCATTATAACCTCTTATTTAATGTCATTCTTTACTCATAGTTGCACCGATATATAGATTAGCTCAGGTTAATTTCTAATTGAAAGCTGGGTAAGCCTACTTGCTTCGATCAGACATTATTTGAATCTATTTTAATAAAATTCCTGCTTTAGCATACCATACAACGAAGCATGTAACTTTTTGTCAGCAACATTTTTATTTTAAACTTTTTTTAAATATAAATAGTCTTCAGTTTATTTTATAGCTAATCAATAAATTTCAAACACCAAATCGGTAACTCTTTTATATGTGATTTTCCTTAGGTTAATGTGATGGTTGCAGGATTTCATGACTGTGTTTTGATGTACGCTTGGGCTTTAAACGAAACACTGGCTGTCGGTGACGATCCTTTGGACGGCTACAATTTGATACGAAGAGTTTGGAATAACACGTTTCATGGAGGTAAGACTTCCTTTAACACATTCTTTAAACAAGAATTTGACAAAAAAAAGTATCTAAGACTGTTCGACAGTATCTATATAAAACGAAACAAACGTAAATCTGGATAATTTATTTATTTGTTTTATTACTGTTTTTGATATAGTCGTGACATGGTTATTTGTTTTATTACTAGTATTGATATAGTCGTGACGTAGTTATTTGTTTTATTACAGGTTTTGATATTGTCTTGTTATGGTTATTTGTTTTGTTACTGGTTTTGATATAGTCGTGACGTGGTTATTTGTTTTGTTACTGGTTTTGATATAGTCGTGACGTGGTTATTTGTTTTATCACTGGTTTTGAAACTGAAGAGTATCCTGAAAGATACGAAACCAGTATTTATGCTGTTATAACAATAATATAAAGTTTTTTAAAATTTAAACAGTTTCGTTTTGTTTCATTTTGTTAAACACTTCCCCGAGCAAAACAGATTTGAATACTGGTATATTTACATATGTATGTATATTTAAGTAGCTAAGCGTAAGTAAATATACATTCACTTTCTACTACTCGCATTGAGAATAATAGGATCAAGTTTATTTACTGAATAACTCCACCAAGAAAATCTCACTTCACTTTTATCGTAGGTTTGACCGGTGATATTTATATTAACGAGAACGGAGATAGAGAAGCAGATTACACTTTGAGTGACATGGATCCGAAGACAGGAGAAATGAGGGTAGGCCTAACAGTAACATATGCAATTTGAGGACGTTTTGAGAAGGTTTTAATAAAATATAGTTTTTCCATTTTAAACGCAAAATGCTTGTTTTACAGTTTTAAAATGAGACATATATTCATAGATTTTTAAAAGAAATTACTGGTACGAGAGTACTAACTTGAATGTAATGGTATTGTTACGTATCTGAGTTCGTATGATAATTTTCCGTAAAAATTCTTTCCGAGTATCCCCAGCGATACAAGTCCTTTCTTAAATAAAACTAGTTTATTCTTTCTCAACTCAACTTTGCAATACACTTAATTTTCACAGTCTCTTTGACTTAAACACACGCTATGATTCACAACGATTCACGCACTTTACTTACTACCAGAGTCACGTGACTTCCGCTGTCGTAACAATATCGCTGCTGATGGCCAAGTGAAACCCGCGAAATTGGGCAACAATAAAAACATCTTTTGTTACTACATTAGTATAATTTGGGGTTGCACCTTGCTAAGGCCCCCAGTGGTACAGCGGTATGTCTGCGGACTTATATCTCTAAAATCCGGGTTTCAAAACCCATGGTGGGCAGAGCACAGATAACCCATTTTGTTGCTTTGTGCATAATTACAAACAAACAATCGGTCATTTGATCGGTTAAAACTTTATGTCCCTAAGGAATAAATGTTGTTTAGAAGTAACTTCTCTAAATATGTATTAGATAGTCCTTATTTCTAGTCCGTTGCTTGAAATATCTCAGTCTATATATATTTTGTCGAATTTTGTCTCATTCTACTAATTTTTGTATCTGTATCGGAGAGTGCGCTAGCATTCTCTATGTAGGGATGGCACTGACGCCCGTATTAAAGAATAAACAAGTCATACGGATTTTCTTCTCTACATCATCAGAAGCTACATATGAAGAGCTACCTGGTATAGTCTCTCTATCTCTGGTGTATATGCCGCTTTTCAACTATCCAGAGTGTCCCAAAGTCTAAAACCAAGATATCTTATTTTCGTTCATCATCATCTTTCTCCAACAGGTCTAGCGCCTATCTAGTTCTAGCAGTAACTATAATTGTATCATCATTTGATAGAGCAAAACAGTCTTCATGATTTTTTACTACATACTATATTATTATTCTATGCAAAATATATCAACGTTTAAAATACACTCTATAACCTAGTAACCAATGTACGCCATATTATGCTCCCCAGTGTCACAACAGTACGTCTGCAGACTTCTCTCGCTAGAAACCGGATTTCGATACCCGTGGAAGACAGAACACAGATAGCCCATTGTGTAGTTTTGTGTTTAACTTCAAATAAACAAATAAACAAACGCCATCGTATAAAAAAGTTAACAAACAAGTATCAGGAAAAAAGTTATATCTAAATAAAAAAGCTACGTAGTGCTGGCTGGGGGCTACTGAAAGTGAAAAATGGAAACAAACAAGATATTGTTACGACAACAGAAGTCACGTAACCCTGGTAACACATAATGAGTTCTAGAAAGATCGGGGAACATCACGAATAATC